TCCAGGTTGGAAAATGGAGGCTCAGGACCCTCCCTGGTGCTACCTGATGCTTCATGCAGCCTCTGATGCTTCCAACAGCCCTCTCTGGACTTCACTAGGTGCATCTGTGAAATGGGTGCATTGAGGCTGGGCGTGGTGGCTCACACCTGTAATCCCAGCACTTTGGGAGGCCGAGGCAATCAAATCACCTGAGGTCAGCAGTTCGAGACCAGCCTGGCCAATGTGACAAACCCCGTTTCTACCTAAAAAAAAAAAAAAAAAAAAAATTAGCCAGGCTTGGTGGCACGTGCCTGTAGTCCCAGCTACTCTGGAGGCTGAATCACAAGAATCGCTAAAACCCAGGAGGGAGAGGTTTCGATGAGCCAAGATTGCACCCCTGCACTTCAGCCTGGGCGACAGAGACACCATCTCAAAAAAAAAAAAAAGGTCAAGGCAGGGCACAGTGCCTCTCGCCTGTAATCCCAGCACTTTGGGAGGCTGAGGCGGGTGGATCACGAGGTCAGGAGTTTGGGACCAGCCTGGCCAGGAGGGTGAAACCCCGTCTCTTAAAAAAAAAAAAGAAAAAGAAAAAGAAAAAAAATCACTTAAATTATCTGTATTGCATACTGTCTCATACCAGGTTGCCCTTTTCCAACAAGTCACGGGCCATATAACCTGTCAACATTGTTACTATTATTCCAGCCAACGTGCAGTCCCTAGCTGTCCCTATCTGGGTGGTGACGTTGAGGGAACCCACTCTCTGTCCCCGTCGGGCAGTGTGACTTGGACTGTATGCTGGAACTCTCCAAGCCTTCTCCTCCTCTCTCCGCCTCCCCACTCCCTGCCTGTCTGAGCTGGAATGAGAAGGCCACTTAGCAAAAGGCCAAGGTAGATAGCTTGGAGCCTGCTTGCAGGGTTAACTTTCCAAGTTGAAGCCAGACACCCCCAAACTAAAGAGTCATCCCACATACAAACAGCAGGACCAGACCTTGGTATCTGTGTTCCCCCAACCCCCAACAAATAATGGCTAAACCTGACAGCACTGTAGTGAATTTTGGCCATTTTAGATAACTGTCCCCTTATGGTGGGGTTTCCTGTGTGCTTCCACCTCCCTCACCAGGCTGTGGGCACCAGAAGGGAGAGCTGGGCCTGTTTTGGTCACCCCTTGGTCCTCAGAGCCCAGCACACAGACGGGCTCTCCACTGGTGTTTGTTGAATGAATAAATGAAAGTATCATACATCTCTGTATTCCCACCACCCAGAGCAAAACTGGAGCCCTGATCCTAATAAATTGCTGAGCCCCTCAACTTGGGACTTTTCCTTACCTGAAAAATGTGGAAAACTCACCCTAACACTGGTGATGATGAAAGAGTGAGGGTTGGACTGAGGCCTGATGAATGAATGAATGAATGAATGAATGAATTGAAAGAAGGAACAGGTTCCTCCTACAGATGAGGAGGCCCAGAGAGGTTAAGGGATGTGCCCAAAGTCACACAGCAAAGGAGGCCACCCAGAAGTGAAGGGTCACCCCATACTCTTCCTTAGGGCCATTTTACCTACAAGGCTGAGGTCACAGGGCCCACAAACTCTTCTCAAGGGACCCCCAAAATTTCAAACCTGAAAAAAATAATCAATTCCAGGCCAGGCACAGTAGCTCATGCCTGTAATCCCAGCACTTTGGAAGGTCCAGGAGGGTGGATCACTTGACCTTAAGAGTTCCAGATTAGCTTGGACAACGTAGTAAGACCCCATCTCTATGAAAAATTAATAATTCATTAAATTAAAATGGAGAAAAGGACTTTAACTGACATTTCTCCAAAGATACGTGAACTGCCAAAAAGCTCATGAAAAGATGCTCACTATCGTTAGTCATTGCAGATGCGAAGGAAAGCCACAATAAGCTATTATTTTATAAGCACCAGAATGACCATTGTCAGGGAGGAGGAGCCTCCCGCAGCACTTTGGGAGGCTAAGGTGAGAGGATCACTTGGGCATAAGAAGTTTGAGACAAGACCAACATAGCAAGACCCCATCTCTACAAAAAAAATTTTTTAACTGGCTGGGTGTGGTGGCTCGCACCTGTAATTCCAGCACTTTCAGAGGCCGAGGCAGGAGGATCACTTTTGGTCAGGAGTTTGAGACCAGCCTGGCCAACATGGTGAAGCCCCGCCTCCACTAAAAATACAAAACTTAGCTGAGTTAGGTGGTGGGCACCTGTAATCTCAGCTACTGCAGAGGCTGGGGAAAGAATCGCTTGAACCCGGGAGGTGGAGGTTGCAGTGAGCCAAGATCTCACCACTGCTCTCCAGCCTGGGCAACAGTGAGACTCTGTCTCAAAAAAAAAAAAAAAAAAAAAAAAAGAATGGCTATTGAGGGAGGAGGCTGGATGTAGGGGCTCACTCCTGTAATCCCAGCACTGTGGGAGGCTGAGGTGAGAGAATCACTTGGGTATAAAGAGTTTGAGGCCAGACCAACGTAGCAAGACCCCATCTCTACAAAAGACAGCTGGGCAGTGGTGGCTCACGCCTGTAATTCCAGCACTTTGGGAGGCTGAGGCGGGCAGATCACAAGGTCAGGAGATCGAGACCATCCTGGCCAACACAGTGAAACCCCATCTCTACTAAAATACAAAACAAATTAACGGGGCACAGTGGCACACGCCTGTAGTCTTGGCTACCGGGGAGGCAGAGGCAGCGGAATTGCTTGAACCCGGGAGGTGGAGGTTGCAGTGAGCCAACATCAGGCCACTGCACTCCAGCCTAGCAACAGAGTGAGACACCTTCTCAAAAATAATAATAATAATAATAATCATAATAATAATTTTAGCCAGGCATGATGATGCTTGCCTGTGGTCCCAGCTGCTTGGGAGGCTGAGGCAGGAAGATCACTTGAGCTGAGGAGGTGGAGGCTGTGATGAGCTGTGATCACACCACTGCAATTCAAAATCGAGCCTGGGTGACAGAGCAAGGCCCTGACCAAAAAAAAAAAAGAAGAAGAAGGAGGAGGAGGAGGAGGAGGAGGAGGAGGACAGTTGGAAACGTGTTGGGGAGGATGTGAAGAAAATTATTTTTAAAAACCTCAGACGTTGCTGGTGGGAACGGAAGACAGGTGCAGCTGCTGCGGAAAAATTTGAGCGTTTCACAAATAGTTAAATTCGAGTAATCATGTGACTCAGCAACTCCACTCCTAGGAGTCCACACCCCACAAGAATGAATGGCAGTGACTCAAGAAGACACCTGTGCACAAATGTTGATAGCAGCATGACTCACCTTCGCCAAAAGAAAGCAACAACCCAAATACCCATCAATGGATGAATGGATGGACACAATGTGTTCCAGACACACTGCGGAATATTACGCAGCTGTAAAAAGGCACGAGGCACTGATCCATGCTGAAACCTGGATGAACCTTGAGTATATGATGCCGAGTGAGAGAAACCAGAAGCAGAATGCCACCTCTTGTTCGAGTCCGTTGCTATGAAATACCCAGAACGGGGAAATCCACAGAGACAGGAAGTAGATTAATGGTTGTCAGCTGTTTGAAGGGGGGGCATGGGGAGTGACCGCTAATGGGGACGGGGGGTCTCCTTTTGGGGGTATGAAAATGTTCTAGAACTAGACAGAGGTGATGGTTGTACAACTCTAAATGCCACTGAATAAAGTGGTTAATTTTATGTTTCGAAATTTGTTTAAAGTACTGTGGGAATAATTTGGGACACCAGTTGGGGAAGGGGACCAGGACTCTCCCTAGCCTCCTGGAGGGAAGGAGGTAAGCGGAGGGGAAATAGTAGCCAATGACAGAGTCCCTGGGTTGAGATCAAATGAAAAGTGAATTTTTCGATTTTGTTATTTCTTTTTTTTTTTTTTTTTTTTGAGACAGAGTTTCGCTCTTGTTACCCAGGCTGGAGTGCAATGGCGCCATCTCGGCTCACCGCAACCTCTGCCTCCTGGGTTCAGGCAATTCTCCTGCCTCAGCCTCCTAAGTAGCTGGGATTACAGGCACGCGCCACCACGCCCAGCTAATTTTTTGTATTTTTAGTAGAGACGGGGTTTCACCTATGTTGACCAGGATGGTCTCGATCTCTCGACCTCATGATCCACCCGCCTCAGGCCTCCCAAAGTGCTGGGATTACAGGCTTGAGCCACCGCGCCCGGCCAATTTTGTTATTTCTTTTCTGAGACACAGCATTGCTCTGTCGCCCAGGCTGGAGTGCAGTGGCATGATCTCAGCTCACTGCAGCCTCGACCTCCTGGGCTCAAGCCATCCTCCTGGCTCAGCCTCAAAAGTAGCTGGGTACACAGGCGCGCCCCACCACACCAGGCTAACTTCCTTCTTTTTTGTAGAGATGGGGTCTGGCTATGTTGCCCGGGCTGGTCTCAAACTCCTGGGCTCAAGCCATCTTCCTGCCTCAGCCTCCCAAAGTGCTGGAATTACAGATGTGAGCCACCTCACCTAGCCCTTTCTCTCTCAGCTCGCTTTTCTAGACGGAGTCTCACTCTGTCACCCAGGCTGGAGCGTGTGGTGGCGCAATCTCAGCTCACTGCAACCTCTGTCTCTGGGTTCAAGCAATCAATCCTCCCACCTCAGTCTCCCGAGTAGGTAGGATGACAGGCGTGCACCACCACGCCTGGCTATATATATAATTTTTTTTTTTTTTTACTTTTTTTGTTTGTTTTTTCAGTAGAGACGGGGTTTCACCAGGTTGGCCAGGCTGGTCTCGAACTGCTGACCTCAAGTGATCCGTCACAGCCTCGGCCTCCCAAAGTGCTATAATTACAGGCGTGACCCACCGCGCCCGGCCCCTTTCTCTTTTTTTTTTTTTTAACAACAATAAAATCGATACTTAGGGCAGCAGGGGGCGGGGTGGTGTCCCTTTCTGAACTTAGAGAGCCACGGGGTTCCCACGATCCAGCCCCTCGCGGGGCCCCGCCCCCCGCCCCGAGCCCCGAGCCAGGCCCCGCCCGCCAGGCCCAGCCGATCAAGAGGGGGCGCCCGCGGGGCCCCGGGAGGGAGGAGAAAAAAAGACTTTGTCCCAAGTTTTCGCGGAGACTCGGCGTCCCCGCTGCGACCAGCACCCCGGAGCCCACGTCCGTCCGGCGACCCCTCAGCCCAGCCCCCCGAACTTTCATACGCTCCCTCCGGCCCCGCCCCCTCGGGGACCCCCCCGGGGGCCCTCGGGCTCCCCCCAACTCCCCTGCCCCTTGAAACCCCTCGGATTCCTCACCCGTTCCCCGGGCCCGCAGGGACCCCCGCCATGGCCCGCTCGTACGGCGGCCGGGTGCTGGCCGCGGTGACCCTGCTGGGCATCGCGGCGGCCGTGCTGGCGGCGCTGAGCGCGCAGCTGCTGTTCCAGCTCCAGGCGGGCCGCGCGGAGCTGCGGGGGCTGCGCGCCGACGGGCTGGGCCGGGGGCTGGGCGCCGGCCCGGGGCTGCCCGAGGACGCGGCCGGGGCGCTGCTGCCTCTGGCCGCCGCGCTGGCCGCGCTGGTGCTGGTGCTGGCGTTCACCTGCCTGCTGCTCGCCGCGCTCTGTGGCCACCTGGGCGCGGAGCTGGCGCGGGGGCCTGGCCCCAGGAGGTAGGAGGACCGGCCTCACCGCCCTGGAGGCTCGGCTGGGGGCGAGGGGAGCCTGGATGAGCCTCTACCCCTCTTTTGGCCTCAGGCTGGGGGGGGACAGCTTCCCTCCCCACTTCCCTTCCCCCCCAACCCCGCCACCCCATGCATCTCCGCCTTCCTCTTTTCCTCCCCCCCTCCCTCCGTCCATTCTGTATTTGTTAAATTTTGCAGCGGGTGCAACCACTGCTGTGTCCCCCGTTTTGCAGATGAGGAAACTGAGGCTCACAGAGGGCCCAGGATCAGTTTGCCTGAATCTCAAACAGGGGAGGCTGAGCTCTCAGGCCGTCTGGCTTGGAAGTGGGGTGGGGAGGGCGAGGGAGTGCTGGACTTGAACTTGGTTCTGGATAGCGCCAGCCAGAGCCTGTGTCCTGGCCTGGAATTGAGGTCCTTCCTCAGGGACCTGAACTCAGGGATGTGGTCATTGAGGGGCCTCTCTCAGGGGCAGTGTGGTTGTGGAAGGAGGAACCCCCTTTGAGTCCAGGACTCTGCTGTCCCACGTGGTAGTGTTTCCCTCCAGAATGCCGGGAGAGAGGAGCCCAAATTCTGGCCCTGAATTCTGTGAATGTGAGCAGATGAGAATTTCCACCATTGGGGTAGATTTTGTCCAGACCACACAGCTTCCACCCAAGGGACAATGAAATAAATCCATGGTCCCATGGGTCAGCAAATGTGTGTCGGGTGCCTGCCTGCAGGGGCTGGGTCTGGCTCAAGGCATCAGAGACACAGCAGGGAACAAGTGGACACAGATCTGCTCTCATGGAGTCACAGAAAATAAGGAATCATAACAAGGGCCAGGCGTGGTGGTTCACACCTGCATTCCCAGCACTTTGGGAGGCAGAGGCAGGAGGATCACTTGAGGCCAGGAATAGTTTTTTTTTTTTTTTGAGACAGCCGGGAGTGCAGTGGTGCTATATCGGCTCACCGCAACCTCCGCCTCCCAGGTTCAAGCGATTCTCCCAACTCATGTTGGCCAGGTGGTCTTGAACTCCTAACCTCAAATGATCCACTCACCGTGGCCTTCCAAAGTGCTGGGAAGCCAGGAATTGAAGACCAGCCTGGGTAGTAATATAGCAATACCTTGTTTCTACAAAAAGAAAGAAATTTAATGGCCGGGCACAGTGGCTCACGCCTGTAATCCCAACACTTTGGGAGGCGGAGGCAGGCGGATCCACCTGAAGTCAGGAGTTCAATACTACCCTGACCAACATGGAGAAACCCATCTCTACTAAAAATACAAAAAAGAAAAAAGAAAAAAAAAAGCTGAGCATGGTGGTGCATGCCTGTAATTCCAGCCACTCGGAAGGCTGAGGCAAGAGAATCGTTTGAACCCTGGTGGGGAGGGGGGAGGCGCAGAGATTTCGGTGAGCCAAGATCGCACCATTGCACTCCAGCCTGGGCAACAAGATTGAAACTCCCGTCTCCAAAAAAGAAAAAGAAAAAAGTGTAATTAGCTGGGTGTGGTGGTGTATGCCTGTAGTCCCACATACTTGGGAAGCTGAGGCAGGATTCCTTGAACCCAGGACGTCAAGGCTACAGGGAGCCATCATCATGCTTATGAATAACCGCTGCACTCCAGTTTGGGCAACATAGTGAGACTCCATCTCTAGTAATAATAATAATAATAATAATAATAATAATAATAATAATAATGGCAGATCGTGATGAGCATCAGGAAGAAAAAAAAACAGAGATGGGATAGGACTTCGGGATTTCTCCTACTTAGGAGGGTTGTGAGTGAGGAGGAAGGTGACCTGATTTAGGTTTTGAATGACCACCTTTAGCCACTGTGCTGAAAAGGGGACAGGAGGGAAGGCAGCAGGAAGACCGGGAAGGCATCCACTTTCATTATACTGATGGGAGCCAAGTGAGGATGGAAGCTCTCAGAGTCTCCATTTCCTCCTCGATCAGTGTCATCTTTTGGAGTCTCTGTTTGTACCATCAATAAGCACATGAAACTGTCTCCTCATCTCTCAAAGAAGCTTATGGTCTGTAAAATAATGGAAGCCAGGTGTGTGGCAAGTATCTGCACATAGCAGCTGCTTCCCAAGTATTGGGTGTTTGAGTGGACTCATGTATACAGGTGGATTATAAGGGAAAGAGAATGGATGGTGGAAAGAAGGAAGGAGGGAAGGAGGGAAGGAGGGTAGGAAGGAAGAGAAGAGGTTGGATGGATAGTGAATGGGAGGTGGATGATCAGCGGATGGGTGGGTGAGGGATGGATAGATAGGATAGTGGAGGGTGTTGGAATGAATGGATAGATGGATTAATAGCACACGGTTAAATGGATGGAAGACTGTATATGAGTGCTGGTTGCATAATCAATGAATATGGATGAAAAATGGATGGTGGACACTGACTTGGAAAAATGGAGGGGGATGGGTGGAGCATAGATAAATGGATAGATATCGAATGGGTGGATGGTGGGTCTCTAAATAATTGTGTGGCTGGATGAATGGATGGGGCTGATGGATGGAGATGGGTAAGTGGATGTATGAATGAACTGGTAAGTGGATGGATGGATGAATGAGTAGATGGGTGACTGGGCTGATGGATGGACAAGTGGATGGATGGGTGGGTGGATGGATGGATGAGTAGACAGATGGATAAATGGGTGGGTCGGTGGGTGGGTCGATGGATGCACTGATGGATGAATGGGCAGATGAATGGATGGGTGGGTGGACAGACGGATGGATGAGTAGACGGATGGATGAATGGGTGGACAAATGGATGGATGGATAAATGGGTGGATAAATGGGTGGGTGGTGGATGGGTGGATGGATGGATAAACTGGGTGGGTTGGTGGGTGGGTGGGTGGATGGATGGATGGATAAATGGGTGGGTGGTGGATGGATGGATGGATGGATAAATGGGTGGGTGGATGGATGGATGGATAAATGGGTGGGTGGTGGATGGGTGGATGGATGGATAAATGGGTGGGTGGTGGATAGATGGATGCATGGATGGATGGATAAATGGGTGGGTGGTGGATCGATGGATGGATAAATGGGTGGGTGGCTGGGTTGGTGGATGGATGGATGGATGGATGGAGAGTGGATAAGTAAATGAATGTAAATGTGTGGGCAAGTAGAAGGATGATAGTTAGGTACTCTAGATTTTTGGTCCCTGAAAGGTGGGTCCTTGTCTCATTTAAGCAGCTCTCCCTCCCTCTCCTTACCGACCTCCTCCATCAGCTCCACTTCCTGAGCCCTTGTTCTTCCTGCTCCCCTCCATCCCAGGTCTGACTGGTTTCTCTACGACTGCCGCCTCCTCAGACACGTGGCCCTTGGCCTTTTCTGCTGCGGTGTCTCCGTCTACTTAGCAGGTGTGTGCTGGAATAGAACACAGGGCATAGGGTCCTGGGTCGGGTAGAGAGCAGTAATGGTCCCCTGACTGCGATCAACTTCACAGACAGCCTGCTTGAGTTCAGCTCCAGGCTCTGATACTTCCTTGCTTTGATGCCTTGAATGAATCTCTCTGTGCCTTGATTTCCTCAGCAGTACACTGGGAATAACTGTCTTTACCTCACAGAATCACTTGAGGAGATTCTGAGATTTGTTTATTTATTTATTTATTATTTCATTTGTGTATTTGTTTGTTTATTTTTTGAGATGGAGTATTGCTCTGTCACCCAGACTGGAGTGCAGTGGCACGATCTCCACTCACCACAACCTCTGCCTCCTGGGTTCAAGTGATTCTCCTGCCTCAGCCTCCCAGGTAGCTGGGATTACAGATGCCCGCCACCATACTTGGCCAATTTTTTGTATTTTTAGTAGAGATGGTGTTTCACCATGTTGGCCAGGCTGGTCTCAAACTCCTGACCTCATAATCCTCCCACCTCAGCCTCCCAAAGTTCTGGGATTACAGGCGTGAGCAACCATGCCTGGCCCGAAATTCTGAGATTTAACCTTTATGAAAGTCCATGGGGACCGGGAGCAGTGGCTCACGTCCCTTATCCCAGCACTTTGGGAGACTGAGGTGAGAGGATCGCTTGAGGCCAGGAGTTTGAGACCAGCCTAGGCAACATAACAAAATCCCATCTCTACAAAAATAAAATAAAATAAAATAAAATAAAATTAGCTCAGTGTGGTGGCACACACCTTGGGAGGCTAAGGTGGGAGGATCACTTGAGCCCAGAAAGTTGAGGCTGCAGTGAGCCATGATTGTAGCACTGCACTGGTCTCTAGCCTGGGTGATACAGTGAGACCCTGTCTCATAAAAATATATATATATAGCCCATGGATGGCATCTGAATCCAGCAGGAACTCCACAAATGCTAGTTGTCATCAGAACATTTTTGATTCATCAGTTTTTTGGGATTTTTTGAGACAGAGTCTCACTCTTGTTGCCCAGGCTGGAGTGCAATGGCGTGATCTCAGTTCACTGCAACCTCCACCTCCTGAGTTCAAGCAATTCTCCTGCCTCTGCCTCCCTAGTAGCTGGGATTACAGGCACGCGCCACCATGCCCAGCTAATTTTTGCATTTTTAGTAGAGATGGGATTTCTCCATGTTGGTCAGGCTGCTCTCGAACTTCCGACCGCAGGTTATCCACCCACCTCGGCCTCCCAAAGTGCTGGGATTATAGGTGTGAGCCACTGAGCCCGATTCATTAGTTTTGTACATTTGGTTTGAACAAAAATTTTCATGGCCTGGGTGGTATCTAAAGATAGCATTTCGGTTGGGCACAGTGGCTCGTGCCGGTAATCCCAGCACTTTGGGAGGCCAAGGCAGGCAGATCATGAGGTCAAGAGATCCAGACCAGTCTGGCCAACATGGTGAAATCCTGTCTCTACTGAAAATACAAAACAATTAGTTGGGCGTGGTGGCGGGTGCCTGTAATCCTGGCTACTCAGGAGGCTGAGGCAGGGGAATTGCCTGAATCCAGGAGGCAGACGTTGCAGTGAGCCAAGATCAAGCCACTGCACTCCAGCCTGGGCAACAAGGGCGAAACTCCATTTGAAAAAAAAAAAAAAAAAAGATAGCATTTCACAGGTTGAAATGAAATGAGTATTTGGATTATAAATATCACTTTCCAGCCCAGCGAGGTGGCTCATGCCTGTAATCCCAGCACCTTGGGAGGCCGAGGTGGGTGGATCACAAGGTCAGGAGGTCAAGACCAGCCTGGCCAAAATGGTGAAACAGCGTATCTACTAAAAGTATAAAACTTAGCCGGGCATGATGGCACAAACCTGTAATCTCAACTCCTCGAGAGGCTGAGGCAGAGAATTGCTTGAACCCAGGAGGTGGAGGTTGCAGTGAGCCGAGATTGCACCACTGTACTCCAGCCTGGCCGACAGAATGAGACTCTGTCTCAAGGGAAAATAAAAATCAATTTCCAGCCCAAAAATGGCTTAAGAAAAAAAAAAAAAAAAAAGAATAACCCAGATGCCAGAACACACGACACCATCTTTCCTTCCTGATTTGTAATAACTGTTCTTCAATCAGCTTTCTTTTATTCATCGGGGCTAGGAAACAAATCAAATCATTAAGTGTCTTTCACGAGACTCCTAATGCCTTATCTTTGGTTTTAATCTTGAAACAGATGTGTTGATGATGCTGCAGACTCGACACTGAATCATACATAAGTCCCTGCCAGCCCTGTAAATGATCCATTTTACAGGAAGAAAAAATATCCTGCTGATTAGAAAGCAGGATTTGCTATTACTATTTTTTTCATAGTCCACCATAGAAAAATAGAAGTCTAAAAAGGTATTTAGGCCGGGTGCACTGACTCACACCTGTAATCCCAGCACTTTGGGAGGCCAAAGTGGGTGAATCACTTCAGGTTAAGAATTCAAGACCAGCCTGGCCAACATGCTGAAACCCCTTCTCCACTAAAAACACAAAAAAATTAGCTGGGCATGGTGGTGGGCTGAGACAGGAGAATAGCTTGAACCTGAGAGACGGAGGTTTCAGCGAGCAGAGGTCACACCACTGTACTCCAGCCTGGGCAACAGAGTGAAACCTCATCTAAAAAATAGATAGATAGAGCCGGGCGCAGTGGCTCAAGCCTGTAATCCCAGCACTTTGAGAGTTCGAGGCAGATGGATCACTTGAGGTCAGGAGTTCAAGACCAGCCTGGGCAACATGGTGAAATCCCATCTCTACTAAAAATACAAAGATTAGCCAGGCATTGTGTCGAACCCCTGTAATCCCAGCTACTCCGGAGGCTGAGGCAGGAGAATTGCTTGAACCCAGGAGGCAGAGGTTGCAGTGAGCCAAGATCCCACCACTGCACTCCAGGCTGGGCGACGACAGAGTGAGATGCCATCTCAAAAAAAAAAAAAAAAAAAAAAACGATAAAAGAAGAAAGAAAGAAAGGAAGGGAGGGAGGAAGGAAGAGAGGGAGGGAGGGGGGGAGGGAAAAGAAAAAAGAAATGAGCCAGGCGTGGTGCTATACACTGGTACTCCCAGCTACCCAAGAGGCTGAGGCAGGAGAACCACTTGAACCCAGGAGGCAGAGGTTGCAGTGAGCCGAGATCGCGCAACTGCACTCCAGCCTGGGTGACAGAGAGAGACTCTGTCTCAAAAAATAATAATAGTAATAACAATAATAATAATAATAAAAGAAAAAAGAAAAAGAAATGCTTCTCACTTCACTGCTTCATCTGCTGTTGCCTAAGTGGGCTTCTCTCTGGGAAAGATGCCTGTATGTGGGCACTTCCGACATGATGCCTGGAGCCTGGGTCTTTGCACAGGCCAACAGAAATATTCAAGACCTAGGGAATATCCTCATCCTAAAATACAAGAACAATTACAAAAGCAAAAAAAAAAGGTAATATTATGTCAGCCTCACTAAGCGTAAAATTGAGAATTCATTCACCTCCTATTTAGATTGTTTTTGAGGCTAGGTGACCTCATTCAGCAAGAATTCCCAAGCACGTCCAACTAATCATCCATTCATTGCTAGCTAGAACTAAAAGAATAATTACAAAATCTCTTTCAAAATGTTTCCAGCAAAAAAAAAAAAAAAAAAGGAAGAAAAATCCTTGGCCTTGCTTTCATATGTCGGACATCATGCAGTGCGGTATCTTCCAAAACAATAGTACAGAGCCAGAGAACGCATAAAAACAGTCTGGAAAGGGCCAGGCGCGGTGGCTCCCGCGTGTAATCCCAGCACTTTGGGAGGCCGAGGCAGGCGGATCACAAGGTCAGGAGTTCGAGAACAGCCTGGCCAGTAGGATGAAACCCTGTCTGTACTAAAAATACTAAAATTAGCCAGGCATGGTGGCAGGCACCTGTAGTCTCAGCTACTCCGGAGGCTGAGACGGGAGAATCGCTTGAACCTGGGAGGCGGAGGTTGCAGTGAGCTGAGCGAGATCACGGCCACGCCACTGCACTCCAGCCTGGGCGGCAGAGCGAGGCTCTGTCTCAAAACAAACAAACGAACAAAAACACAGCCTGGAAAGTGCCCCAAAAGAGTCCCCCATCCGTTCCGGGCCCCTCTCCTACCAATACCAACAGCCCAGACGCTGCAGGAAAATTGCTCTGTCCCACTAGCCCAGGCTAATGTCCCAAGACTGCCTCTGATAGGCTGAGCTGGGGCCATGTAATATTCCTCCACCAATCACTAACCTCAGGAAAAGTAATGAAATGCTCTGATTGGCTGAGCCTGGTCCAATGAGGACATCACTGATGCCAAAGTGGGTCGGTGATCCCAGATCCATTCCCCAGTGTAGAGATGGGGACCAGACCGGGGAGTCTCCATTGAGAGTGATTCTGGCCTCAGTAGAGTTTTTTCACTGCCTAGGGACCTTTTTGGTGGTCGCCACTGAGTTGAGGGTGGGACGCTACTGACATCTAGTGGGTAGAAGCTGCTAATGGTGCCAAATTGCATGCTGGAGAGGCTGATAGAGGCCTAGCTAGTTCAGGTGCTCAAAGGTCCCCCACCCCTTTTTTTTTTTTCTCCTCTGAGAGAGTCTTGCTCTGTCGCCTAGGCTGGAGGTGCAGTGGAGTGATCTCAGCTCACTGCAACCTCCACCTCCCAGGTTCAAGCGATTCTCCTGCCTCCACCTCCCAAGTAGCTAGGATTACAGACGTGCACCACCACGCCCGGCTCATTTTTGTATTTTTAGCAGAGACAGGGTCTCGCCATGTAGCCCAGGCTGGACTTGAACTCCTGGCTCAAGCTATCCTCCTACCTCAGTCTCCCAAGTAGCTGGGACTACAGGCATGCACCGCCATGACCAGTTAAGTCGCAGTTTTTTTTTAACTGTGGCAAAATACACATAATAAAAACATTACCATTTTAACCAGTGTATTTTATTTTTATTTTTTGAGACAGGATCTTGCTGTCACCCAGGCTGGAGTGCAGTGGTGTGATCACAGCTCACTGCAGCTTTCTTTGTCCTGGGCTCAAGCAGTCCTCCTGCCTCAGCCCCACAACTAGCTGGGACTACAGGCAAGCACTACCATTCCCAGATTGTTTATTGTTTTTTTGTAGAGACTGGTCTCTGTATGTTACCTGAGCTGGTGTCCAACTCCTGGCCTCAAGCAGTCCTCTCACCTTGGTTTCTGAAAGTTCTGGGATTACAGGTGTGAATCACGGCGCCCAGCCTTTAACCACTTTAAAGTGTACAGTTCAGTGGGAGTTAGAACAAAAAATTAGCCAGGCATGGTGGCACATGCCTGTAGTCTCAGCTAAGGCTGAGGCAGCAGTATCGCTTGAACCTGGAAGGCAGAGGTTGCAGTGAGCCATCGTGCCACTCCAGCCTGAGTGACAGAGCAAGACTCCGTCTCAAAAAAAAAAAAAAAAAAGAAGAAGAAGAAGAAGAAGAAGAAAACCCAGTGGGGAGCAGTGGTTCACCCCTGTAATCCCAGCCCTTTTGGGAGGCCAAAGCTGAAGGATCACTTGAGCTCAGGAGTTCGAGACCAGCCTGGCGACAAGGCCAAACCCAAACTCTACTAAAAATACAAAAATTAGGCTGGTCGCAGTGACTCACGCCTATAATCCCAGCAGTTTGGGAGTCTGAGGTGGGCAGATCACTTGAGGTCAGAAGTTCGAGACCAGCCTGGCCACCATGGTGAGACCCTGTCTCCACTAAAAATACAAAAATTAGCCAGGTGTGGTGGTCTATGCCTGTAATCCCAGCTACTTGGGAGGCTGAGGCAGGAGAATCGCTTGAACCAGGAGGTGGAGGCTGCAGTGAGCTGAGATTGCACCATTGCACTCCAGCCTGGGCAACAAGAGTGAAACTTCGTCTCAGAAAAACAAACAAACAAACAAACAAACAAACCACCTCTGTCTCTTCCTGGCTGTGTGGCTTTGAGGAATCCCCTAACTTCTCTGGGCCCCAGCTTTCTCCTCTGTAAAATGGATGTGGTCATGATGTACCACGTGTGGGGTGTAGGAAGATTAGATGCTTATTCCATGTGCCCAGCAAGTGGCAGGATTTTTTGTGATGTTCCCCCTGTGTGCAGAAGTTCCCTGAGGGCTTGGAGGGCAGATGCTTGTTGACTGAATAAATGAGAGTCGTTTCCTTCCCTAGCACTGTCCATCTACGCCTTGCTACTTTTCGAGATCGAGACAGGCGCAGCAGCCGCTTCGATCCTCAGCTCGGGCGCTCTGGTTCTGGTGGCCATGCTGACCCACACTCTCCTCCGGGCCGCCCGGGCCACCCGCCGTGGGATCCACGAGTTGTCCCCGCCATCCTTTGAAGATGACCTCACCCGCCCTGCCGACGTCTCCAAGGCCAGCCCCAGAGCTCAGCCTCAGCAGGGTACCCACCGTCGGACCCCCTATTCAACCCGTCCAGAACCTGGGGACCCCCTTGGGTCCATGGCCACTGCCACAGCACCTGCAGCCCTGGGGGGAGGCTGGGAGAGTGGCCTGCCGGCGCCCCGAATGCACCGGACACTGTCGACCGGCCTGGGGCACTGGGATGGGGTCACCCACGAGATGCATCGAATGCTGAGCCACAGGCTGGGGAGCACAGGGAGCACGGGGAAGGACTCCACGCTGGTGTGAGCCCAGGGATGAAAAATAGAGATCTGGTGTAAGAAGAGGATACCATAGAGATAGGTTAAGGTTCAGCTGCAGTAGCAGAAGGACTTGATTTTTCTCTCATCTCATTGCATCCTTGGCTTTTGTCCTCAGGGTTGCCTTGTGGCACAAAATAGTTGCCAGAGCTCCAGCCTTCACCTCCTCTTTATGAGGGAAAGTCAGAGGCCAGTGCTGGCTGGGGGTCTCCTGTAAGAAGTCTTCCCAGGAAGCCTTAAACTCTCTCTCTTTTTTTTTTTTCCTTTGAGACGGAGTTTTGCTCCTGTTGCCCAGGCTGGAGTGCAATGGCGAGATCTCAGCTCACCACAACCTCCGTCTCCTGGGTTCAAGAGATTCTTCTGCCTCAGCCTCCCGAGTAGCTGGGAGTACGGACATGTGCCACCATGCCCGGCTAATTTTGTATTTTTAGTGGAGATGGGGTTTCTCCATCTTGGTCAGGCTGGTTTCAAACTCCCGACCTCAGGTGATCTGCCTGCCTCGGCCTCCCAAAGTGCTGGGATTACGGGTGTGAACCACCACACTGCACCCAGCCGTAACGCTTCTTTTTATATCCCACTGGCAAGAACAGAGCAAAATGACCACACCTTGCCGCAGGGGAGGCTGGGAATGCGGCTGCGCAGATGAATGAGACTCTGTTACTGGCAGAAGGGGAGCAGGGGGCTCAGGCAGTGATTCTCTAAGTGTCTCCATCCATTTTACAGATGAGGAAACCGAGGCCCCAAGAGAGGCAGTGACTCACCAGGGGGCCCACGGCCAGGACTGAGCGCCAGAGCCAGGATTCTCACCTGAACCCCGTAATCTCCAAGCTGCTGATGTGAAAGTCTCAGACTCTGCAAATCCCTGCTGCACCCCTCAGGTTGGGACCATTTCAAACCCCCGTGTGCCAAGCTCAGAGCAGGCCAGGGCCAGGCGCATGGCTGGAGGGCTGGACCCAGGTTCCTGGCTGTGGACTCATGGCTGAGGGACTTAGCCGCTTTGTGCCTCAGTTTCCTCATCTGTACTATGGAGACAAGAAGGGGCCCCGCCTCCAAGGGTTCCCACAAGACACGTGACTTCGTGTGAGCCATTCTGGGGGGGGGGTCCCGACACAATAGGTCCTCAAGGGTATTAATCATTTTCATGCTGCTGCTGCTTGGGGTATAGATATGGGTAGTTTCTGGGGCTCCAGGAAATGACAGAGGGGTCTCCAAAGGTCTCCTGTCTTGCACAACCCACAAATAAACTCTGATAGTCACTATCTGTGTGTTAATCAATGTTCAGTTGTGCTGGGTGACCAAGCCCAGGCCCATGGGTGAGACTTGGGTGGGGTGTGGGGAGGGCAGGGGTGAGGTCCAGGGCATGGCCGTGGTAGACCCCAGTCTGGGACGCGTGTTCAACCCGTTTTTTTCATTTGGTTTTGAGATGGAGTCTTGCTCTGTGACCCAGGCGTCATCTCACCTCAGGCAACCTCCGCCTCCCAGGTCCAAGCGATTCTCCTGCCTCAGACTTCCGAATAGCTGGGATTCAAGGCCTGGGCCACCACACCCAGCTAATTTTTGTTTTTTGTGTTTTTGAAACAGTCTTCTGTGGCCCAGGCTGGAGTGCAGTGGCGTGATCTCGGCTCACTGCAACCTCTACCTCCCAGATTCAAGAGATTCTCCTGCCTCAGCCTCTTGAGTAGCTGGGATTATAGGCACGGGCCACCACACCCGGCTACTTTTTACATTTTTGGTAGAGCTGGCATTTCACCATGTTGGCCAAGCTGGTCTCGAACTCCTAACCTCAAGTAATCCACCCACCTTGGTCCCTTCAAAGTGCTGGGATTACAGTCGTGAGCCACCACACCTGGCCTGAATTGTATACTTCTAAATGGTTAATTCTAGGTTAATGTGATTTTCACTTCAACATTTTTTAAAAAGAGGGGTTTGGCTTTCACCCCGACTGGAATGACGTGTTGTGATCATAGCTCACTGCAGCCTCGACCTCCTAGGCTCAGCATCCAGAGTAGCCGGGACTCTAGGTGCACGCCACTACACCTGGCTAATTTTTGTATTTTTTATTTCGTAGAGATGGGACTCCCTAGCTAAAGCAATTCTCTTCACTCAGCTTCCAAAGAAGTTAGGATTAGAGGGCCATGCCATCATGCTCCCCCCTCCCCTCACAAACATAAAACAAGGCCGGCCTACAATCCCAGCACTTTGGGAGGCCAAGGCAGGTGGATCACCTGAGGTCAGGAGTTGGAGACCAGCCTGACCAACATGGAGAAACCCCGCCTCTACTGAAAATACAAAATTAGCCGGGTGTGGTGCCAGGTGTCTGTAACCGCAGCTACTGGGGAGGCTGAGGCATGAGAACTGCTTGAACCCAGAAGGCAGAGGTGGCAGTGAGCTGAGATCGCACCACTGTGCTCCAGCCTGGGCCACAGAATGAGACTCCATCTCAAATTAAAAATAGGAGAGAAGGATACGTCCGCATCCTGGACCAAGTGCTGTGGTTCCTGGGGGCCTCCACTCCCCCTTCTGTAGCCCAAGACAGTGTAAGTTCAGCCTAGAAATTTTAGGATCAGTGAGACCCAAGTCAGGAACAGGTGGGGAGAGCGCCATCGGGCCCCTCCAACCCATGTGGGATGCAGTCCCCAGGCCTGCCTGGGCTCAGAGGGCTGGGATTTTGCAGGGTGAGTGGCCCTGTCATCAGTGACAATTGGTCTAGTCGGATCCAAGGCCAGGATGGATCATCCTCAGGCCCCTGGTCACACACAGACGCCCCGAAATGAGATCTGGGGCTGCTTTCGGGGCAGCAGAGGACGGCAGAAAGGACAAATGTCATTTGCTTTCTGGCTGGATCGGATTCCCTGGCCGGCGCCAGAGGAGCCTGGGCAGGACCTGGCAGACGCCCCATGCACTGGGAGCCAGGAAAGGCAGGCAGGTGCCTTAGCACCAGAGACCTAGTTTTTCCAAGGCAGCTGAAAAGTTTGGGGAGAGGAGGTACATTCTGCATCATCCCCGCTCACCTCCCCTTCCAGGAGAGCTCACTGTCCTTCCTCTCAGATTCCCAAGGCCAGGCCAGGTCTCCTCCCTGACAAAGACTCTCTTCTTGACAAACCTGAGTCCTAATCCTCTGAAATCGCTCCTTTATTGGCCCCTGACCTTGGCTCCTGTCCTGTCTTTGATGTTTCACCCAGTCTTAGCAAGAATCCTGCTAAGTCAGTTTCTTGATATCTGATCGCCCTGGCCTGCCTCCAGCAAGGATCCTGTTAAGCGGGTTTAAGGTGACTCCCCAAGCCTTTCTAATTTTCTAGCCACTGACCCGCCTCGCCCTGCTCCATGGCTATAAATCCCCACTTGTCAACAACTTTGTGGATTCAGAGTTGAGCTCAATCTGGCATGCAGTCGTCTTGAATAAAGTCTTGTTTACTTTTAACAATCATCAGGCAGCAAGGCACCGTGGCTCACGCCTGTAATCCCAACACTTTGAGAGGCTGAGGCAGGAGGATCACCTGAGGTTAGGAGTTCGAGACCAGCCTGACCAACACGGGGAAACCCGTCTCTACTAAAAATACAAAAATTAAACGGGCATGGTGGTGCATGCTTGTAATCCTAGCTACTCCAGAGGCTGAGGCAGGAGAATCGCTTGAACCCGGGAGGCAGAGGTTGTGGTGAGCCAAGATTGCACATTGTACTCCCGCCTGGGCAACAAGAGTGAAACTCTGTCTCCAAAAAAAAAAATCAGAATTATATGTGTGTGTGTGTGTGTGTGTTTCACAAAGATGGTGTTTCACTGCTGCCCAATCCTTGATCTCCTGAGCTCAAGAGATCCTCCCAGCTTGGCCTCCCAAAGTGCTGGGATTACAGGCGTGAGCCACTGCTGCACCCAGACCTAGATTTTCTTTCTTTCTTTTTTTTTTTTTTTTTTGAGACAGGGTCTTGCTGTCACCCAGGCTGGAGTGCAGTCATGTAATCATAGCTCACTGCTCTGGCGTGCGCTGCGTCCCACGCTGCACAAGGGGTCAAAGACCTCAGAGGGAACAGTGGGGGATAAAGAGACATACAGACAGACATATAGAAAGCTGGGCCAGGCGGTCCGAAAAGCTGATGATGTCAGTCTCTTCGGCCCCGACCTGCCTCAGAGTACTTTATTTTATATGTTTACAAAGCACATAGCAGAGGGAGGGTGTACTTACTTAGAATAGCCTGTGGTTAAAATTCTCTTACTTTTAGTTCACATGCTTCAGCCAACAACTATCTTGCAGCGAGGTCAGTGAGAGCCGGTTTTCTTTTTCGAGGCCTCTCTACACTTCTCCAAGACAGACACATTCCCCTAGTAAGGGTCTGCTGCTCTGGAGTCACCCGAAGTTCACAGCAGCCTTGCTGCTGACTCCCCCAGAGAGAGTGGGCTACTCTGCATCTCTACAATTGCAGCCTTCACCTCCTAGACTCAGGCAACTACAGGTGGGAGCCACTACACCCCTCAGCCTCTCGAGTAGCAGGGACTACAAGCACGTATCACCTTGCCAGGCTAATTTTTAATCTGTACAGACAGGGCCTTGCTGGGTTGCCCAGGCTGGTCTCAAACTCCCAGGGTCTCCAGTGATCCTCTCGCCTTAGCCTCCGACAGTGCTGGCATTCCAGGCATGAGCCACCACGGTGGCCAACTTTTTTTAAAAGCTGGGATGTTTCTTTAGACGACACTGTGCTCACTGTGAGATGAAATAATAGCCTTCCCCTTAGGTGGGATTCTGCACCACTACCTAACAAAGTCTGTTGTTGCTGAGAAATAAGCCTTAGCTCTGCTATTTATTTATTTACTCATTTACTTAGAGACAGGGTTGTGCTCTGCACCCAGGCTGTTGACTTATTAATGATTTAGAGACAGGTCTCACTCTGTACCCAGGCTGGAGTGCAGTGGCGTGATCCCGGCTCACTGCAACTTCCGTTTTCCAGTTTTAAGCAATTCTCCTGCCTCAGCCTCCTGAGTAGCTGGGACTATAGGCATGTGCCACCATGCCTGGCTAATTTTTTTGTATTTTTAGTAGAGACGGGGTTTCACCATGTTGGCCAGGCTGGTCTCAATCTCTCGACCTCGTGATCCACCCGCCTTGGCCTCCCAAAGTGCCTGTAATCCCAGCACTTTGGGAGGCCAAGGCGAGCAGATCACCTGAGGTCAGGTGTTAGAGATAGCCTGGCCAACATAGTGAAACCCTGTCTCTACTAAAAACACTGGGCATGGTGGCACATGCCTATCATTTCAGCTGCTTGGGAGGCTGAGGCAGGAGAATCACTTGAACCCGGGAGGTCAAGGTTGCAGTGAACCAAGATGGCACCATTACACTCCAACCTGGGCAACAAGACCAGGTGTGAGCCACCGAGCCCGGCCCTCTTCCCCCTGCATCCCCCCACCAAGATGAAGTTTCACTCTTGTCGCCCAGGCTGGAGTACAGTGGTGCCATCTCGGCTCACTGCAACCTTAACTCCCAGGTTCAAGTGATTCTCCTGCCTCAGCCTCCCAAGTAGCTGGGACTATAGGCATGCATCACCATATCCGGCTAATTTGTTTGTACTTTTAGTAGAGACGGTGTTTCACCATGTTGCCCAGGCTGGTCTCAATCTCTATCCGTTATCCGCCCGCCTTCACCTCCCAAAGTGCTGGGATTACAGGTGTGAGCCACCGAGCCTGGCCCTCTTTTTCCCCCCACCCCAAGATGGAGTTTCACTCTTGTCGCCCAGGCTGGAGTGCAATGGCGCGATCTCGGCTCACCGCAACCTCCGCCTCCTGGGTTCAGGCAATTCTCCTGCCTCAGCCTCCTGAGTAGCTGGGATTACAGGCACGCGCCACCATGCCCAGCTATTTTTTGTATTTTTAGTAGAGACAGGGTTTCACCATGCTGACCAGGATGGTCTCAATCTCTCGACCTTGTGATCCACCCGCCTCGGCCTCCCAAAGTGCTGGGATTACAGGCTTGAGCCACCGCGCCCGGCCTCTTTTTTTGTTTTTTTGAAACAGAGTTTTACTCTTGTCGCCCAGGCTGGAGTGCAATGGTACGATCTCGGCTCACGGCAACCTCCACCTCCTGGGTTCAAGCAATTCTCCTGCTTCAGCCTCCAGAGTAACGGGGATTACAGGAATGCAGCACCACGCCCAGCTAATTCTGTATTTTTGGTAGAGATGAGGTTTTACCATGTTGGTCAGGCTGGTCTCGAACTCCTGATCTCAGGTGATCCACCTGCTTTGACCTCCCAAAGTGCTAGGATTATA